CTTTCTTCTTGTTGCCAACATACCTGAAGAAACCCTGGAAGTCCTGGCACAGTCAAGGAATTATGATGTGATTGGAATAACAGAGACTTGGTGGGATAACTCACATGACTGGAGTACTGTCATGGATGGATATAAACTGTTCAGGAAGGACAGGCAGGGCAGAAAAGGTGGGGGGAGTTGCACTGTATGTAAGAGAGCAGTATGACTGCTCACAGTTCCGGTATGAAACTGCAGAAAAACCTGAGTGTCTCTGGATTAAGTTTAGAAGCATGAGCAACAAGGGTGATGTCGTGGTGGGAGTCTAGACCACTGGATCAGGGGGATGAGGTGGACAAGGCTTTCTTCCAGCAACTAATGGAAGTTACTAGATCGCAGGCCCTGGTTCTCATGGGAGTCTTCAATCACCCTGATATCTGCTGGGAGAGCAATACAACGGTGCACAGACAATCCAGGAAGTTTTTGGAAAGTGTAGGGGACAATTTCCTGGTGCAAGTGCTGGAGGAACCAACTAGGGGCAGAGCTCTTCTTGACCTGCTGCTCACAAACCGGGAAGAATTAGTAGGGGAAGCAAAAGTGGATGGGAACCTGGGAGGCAGTGACCATGAGATGGTTGAGTCAGGATCCTGACACAGGGAAGAAAGGAGAGCAGCAGAATATGGACCCTGGACTTCAGAAAAGCAGACTGACAACCTCAGGGAACTGATGGGCAGGATCCCCTGGGAGAACAACATGAGAGGGAAAGGAGTCAAGGAGAGCTGGCTGTATTTTAAAGAATCCTTATTGAGGTTACAGGGACAAACCATCCTGATGTGTAGAAAGAATAGTAAATATGGCAGGCGACCAGCTTGGCTTAACAAGAAGTGGAAGATTGGACAAATGACCAGGGAAGAGTATAAAAATATTGCTCAGGCATGCAGGAGTGAAATCAAGAAGGCCAAATCACACCTGGAGGTGCAGCTAGCAAGAGATTTAAGAGTAACAAGAAGGGTTTCTTCAGGTATGTTAGCAACAAGAAGAAAGTCAAGGAAAGTGTGGGCCCCTTACTGAATGAGGGAGGCAACCTAGTGACAGAGGATGTGGAAAACCTAATGTACTCAATGCTTTTTTTTGCCTCTGTCTTCACAAACAAGGTCAGCTCCCAGACTGCTGCATTGGGCAGCACAGCATGGGGAAGAAGTGACCAGCCCTCTGTGAAGAAAGAAGTGGTTCGGGACTATTTAGAAAAGCTGGACAAGTCCATGGGGACGGATGCGCTGCATCCGAGAGTGCTAAAGGAGTTGGCGGATGTGATTGCAGAGCCATTGGCCATTATCTTTGAAAACTCATGGTGATCGGGGGGAGGTCCCGGACAACTGGAAAAAGGCTAATGTAGTGCCAATCTTTAAAAAAGGGAAGGAGCAGGATCCGGGGAACTACTGGCCAGTCAACCTCACCTCAGTCCCTGGAAAAATCATGGAGCAGGTCCTCAAGGAATCAATTCTGAAGCACTTAGAGGAGAGGAAAGTGATCAAGGACAGTCAGCATGGATTCATCAAGGGCAAGTCATGCCTGACTAATCTAATCGCCTTCTATGATGAGATAACTGGCTCTGTGGATGAGGGGAAAGCAGTGGACGTGTTGTTCCTTGACTTTAGCAAAGCTTTTGACATGGTCTCCCACAGTATTCTTGCCAGTAAGTTAAAGAAGTATGGGCTGGATGAATGGACGATAAGGTGGATAGAAAGCTGGCTAGATTGTCGGGCTCAACGGGTAGCGATCAGTGGCTCCATGTCTAGTTGGCAGCCGGTATCAAGTGGAGTGCCCCAGGGGTCGGTCCTCGGGCTGGTTTTGTTCAATATCTTCCTTAATGATCTGGAGGATGGTGTGGATTGCACCCTCAGCAAGTTTGCAGATGACACTAAACTGGGAGGAGAGGTAGATACGCTGGAGGGTAGGGATAGGATACAGAGGGACCTAGACAAATTAGAGGATTGGGCCAAAAGAAATCTGATGGGGCTCAACAAGGACAAGTGCAGAGTCCTGCACTTAGGACGGAAGAATCCCATGCACCGCTACAGACTAGGAACCGAATGGCTAGGCAGCAGTTCTGCAGAAAAGGACCTAGGGGTTATAGTGGATGAGAAGCTGGATGTGAGTCAACAGTGTGCCCTTGTTGCCAAGAAGGCCAGTGGCATTTTGGGATGTATAAGTATTGCCAGCAGATCGAGGGACGTGATCGTTCCCCTCTATTCGACATTGGTGAGGCCTCATCTGGAGTACTGTGTCCAGTTTTGGGCCCCACACTACAAGAAGGATGTGGAAAAATTGGAAAGCATCCAGCGAAGGGCAACAAAAATGATTAAGGGACTCGAACACATGACTTATGAGGAGAGGCTGAGAGAACTTATGAGGAGAGGCTGGGATTGTCTGCGGAAGAGAAGAATGAGGGGGGATTTGATAGCGGCTGTCAACTACCTGAAAGGTGGTTCCAAAGAGGATGGATCTAGATGACCTCCTGAGGTCCCTTCCAACCCTGATATTCTATGATTCTATGATTTGTTAAACATTTCCTACAGCTATAGAAAAATTCACAAAACTCTAACAGTCTATCTAGAAATCACTGTTTATTCCTGTATTGTTTGCGCATTGTATTAAGTTGTAGCACATAGTTTTATTCATCGGTCTAATCATAATTAATTTCTATATTAACTTAAAAAGAGGTATAAAGATGGAGCTGTTCAAAAGGATGAGCATATTCTAAGATCATTTGTTTTCTTGCAGCCAATAAATACCACGTGTGTCATGAACAACTGAGCCAATGTACTGAGTGTAATGAGTGAAATGAAACTCTTTCTTTAGTATGGCTGCTATTTTGCACCATAAGGAAGCTTCTAATTTCAGTCATCTGATTTTATGGTTGACTAGAGCTGAGGAAATAACTCAAAGAATCATTCATAAATATTCACTTGAATAAAAATTGAACTGGAACTTTTACTTCTGTGATTGGCCCAAACCCAAAGGGGTTCAGAGATATGAGAAAATGAAAAAGAAAAATATGTATTAAATACTTTTGAACTTCACAAAACAGTTTTAGTTTGGATTCAGTTTGATTCTTGGTCAACAATTTGAATCAGTATTTATTCTACTCTAATGGTTGTCGGTCTCTATTTTCATTAAGTTTTAGTTATAACTACTCATGGGGCTGAGCTGCAAAATTCAGGTCTGGATTTCAACATCCCCCATTCAAAGTTCAGTGGTGTTCATATTCAGCGTTTTGCTCATTACCTGGTCATCTGTAATTGTGAAATTTAGATACACGTTTGGGTCTGGATTTTATATACCCCATGCCCGTATACTATTTGGATTTGGGCTTCCAGTTCACTCCATCTCGAGCCAATAACTGTGTATTAAATGTTTCAGAGTAACAGCCGTGTTAGTCTGTATTCGCAAAAAGAAAAGGAGTACTTGTGGCACCTTAGAGACTAACCAATTTATTTGAGCATGAGCTTTCGTGAGCTACAGCTCACTTCTCTAAGGTGCCACAAGTACTCCTTTTCTTTTTGTGTATTAAATGAAAATATAGCATTTTAAAATAAGTCATTGCAAATAGATCCATTATAAAATATGTTGTATTAGGAAAAATGTTTACTATGTTATGCAAAAGGTGCTGTATCAGCAGAAGACAGTACTGCTCAGTGCAGATTCCATACTTTCTTACGGTTAAGGAAGTAATAAATATGGAAGTATTTATTACATGTAATTTCTCTTGATTTTCAGAAGTAAATTTCTTCTAGTGCACACATGTTATAGAATCAATTAACTCCATATTTTAACAGATGGCTTCCTACACATTTTTAAAATGACATGACACCATGTACACCACCCTGTAAAACTACAATGTAAGCAAATCAACCATGACAGAATTTTCAGTGTAGAGGAGGAAGAAGAAAAAACTTTACACTAACTGTTTCTGATACAATGCCCTTTAAATTCTGGGGCAAATCCTACCCAAATGACAAAATGCGTTTCAAAATGTAAAGGTTTTGATGTAAGATTAAGGAAAGACAAGAGACATAGCTGCAATGAGTGACACTGATGTTCCATTTATGCCAATGCAGAAGGAGTACACTTGAGCAAGCACTACTCTTACAGTGGCTAGTGAAGCAATTTACTTGGAAGCTCATTAGAGCCTAAGAATGAGACAAGGTAGAATGGGGACTGGGCATTTGAAGCAAGAGATGTAGGAGGTTCATACAAGGAGTGCGGTCTTTGGCGCTCCTTGGAGTTCGCAGCTATGCCCGCTGTCCCTCAAATTATGGCAATCAGCAGAGCCAGGATTGAAACCCTGGCTGTCTCTCAATAGCATGTTGCTATCTAACTTCCACCTCAGAGTCTCTCATTCATTAAATATTATTTACAATGGAATGTTCTTAAACATTTTTTGCTAGTTTTAAATTCAATTTCACATGCAACTTTTAAATGTAGATTTAATATGGGACCTAACTAATATTTATTATTTTTATATATATACACACACATATAAAAATCATAAATCTCTCTATTTTATGCTTCATTTAATCTTTATAGCTCAAAGCACTTCACAAAGCAAATAAATATCATTATCTCCATTTTATAGATGGGGAAACTGTGCCACAAGGATAGTGCTATAAATGATCCCAAACTCTACTGACTGATGGCATTCAATGGGTTACAGCATTCTCTCCCCTTTCCCTCCCCCGATCAGTCTCACTCTCCTGGCCTATCATTCTCCTTCCCCTCCTCTCCTCTTTTCTATCTCAGTTTCCCTGTTTTATTAAACCAATCTGCCACTAATTACTGCAGAGACTTAAAGATGGAGCTGGGAACTGCATGTGATATTCCAAAGAACACGGTATTTGTTTTTGATTGCTCACATTTATTTCTGGTGCAGGATGCGCCAGCTGCAGTAATGAAGTGTGATCGAAGAATGTTAAAGCAAGTGTCAGATCACACAACTGCTGCCATCCAGAGCATTCACTCACCTGCTTGTTCCAAAGCAACCATTGTTGCCTGTTCGATTAAGTCACGTTCAATGAAGCTTCTGAAATCTTCACTGTACACGCTAAGATCTGGTAGCTGGAATGTGTATATAGGCATCTCCAAAGGAAACTGTTCATTGCTGCATTCATTTGCTACATGTGATCGAGCAAGGGAGACTATGGCTGAGCTGGCATGAGAAATACCTCTGGAGAGTCGTTTTTCTGTGGAGGAACCCAAGACAGATTGAGGGAAGTAAGAACATTACAACAAGAGTCATGATTTTATGACAATACTTTCTTCATCCTAACAACAGGCAAGTGGAAGGTGGTGGTACAATTGACATATGAGACCAGGAAGAATGCCTCCCCGTCTTTCCTATGATGGTATTTTATCAACAAATGAACTCATTCCAAATGCAACTCCATTTCCATCATTTGAGGACTTACTATTTATTATTGTTATTTACCACCATTTTGCTGGGCACTGTCAAACATAAAAGAACACATGGTTCCTACTCTGAAGTTGTGCACATTACAGATTAACATGGCTCTGACTGGACAGATTAACTTTTAAAACAATGACTGGTGAAAGAAGTGCTTCTGTAGAATTGGGTTTTGGAGAATTGTGTTCAAGGATTTATTTGAGGAAATATATACTAGTAGATTGTGACAGACCATAACTATTATATATTTCAAACCCTTAAGTTTGGTTAACTTGTTAAGGATCAAATGAAATTCAGCACACAACCATCATCTCACATCACTCCAAACATCAAACATACCACATTCTGCTTTAATCTCAAAAGTTGACTCAGAAGTAATCTCAACATCATTATTCTGCTATAAAGACAAGTTCGCTTTATTTGCCCTGATCCTAGGAATAACAGGCAGTTCACAAAGAATGAAGAATAGTGCAAGCCTATATTAAGGAAGAACCTTATTTTATAAAAAACCAAAACCACAAAAACAAACAAACAATGGGACCCTTTGTCCTATTTTGCTATAAATCCTTATTGAAATTCAATGAAAACATCTACTCAATGTACAGAGGAGAGGTCAGCAAGGCAAACAAAACATAGGGATCTACAAAGAGTGTGCTAGAAAGCACTGCTGACAATATTATAATGCCAGTATTATAGTTCGATGACACACCCTTACCAGGAACACTATGTTCAGTTCCAGTAACCTTATATCCAAAAAGACAGAAATAGAACAAGTCCAAAAACAGAGTGGGAGGAAAAAAAGATTAGAGGCATGGAAAACCTTCTGTATGAAGAGATATTGAAAAGATGGAGACGGTTTAGAGAGGAAATGAGCAAGAAGGATCTGAGAGAGTTTTAGAAAATGATGAATGGATAAGGTCAGTATCATGCACTAATTTACTTCTCCCAATACACGCACAAGGAGTTATTCGATAAAACTGATAAAAGGATATTTTAAAAAACAGAACAGAGGCCATCTGTGGAACGAATAGCCATAAAACATCATGGAGACCCAGAGCTTGGTAGCGTTAAAATAAACGACTAGACATGGATATAGGATAAAAAGTATACCCACAGTTGCACGAGATAAAATAATTTTAAAAGTTTAAGTTGTCATACTTCAGCAAAAGTCAATAATAACTGTTTGGCTTTAGGAAGAAACTCCCTAAAGGCAGGTCCACTGTCCAGCCATGGCAGAAGAAACACAGCAGGCAATGGATGTGGTTTATTGAGATGCAACTTTATTCACTTCAAATATATGGGTGTACCTGGCAATAAATTGTACAATGCAGGTCATCATTATTTCCTTAATCGTTTCCACATAATCCTCAACCTGGTTCCGGCCATCTCATAAGAGAGTTAAGGGAGCTAGAACAGGAGGGGGTGTTGGCTCCCTGCTAAAACAGATGTAGGACGCCCAGCCCTGACCCCCCCATTTCCTCAGCTCCCTTAAGGGATGCTTTATTTTACATCCTTTTCCAATCCATTTTACCCAATAACCATATCCCTTCCATAATGAGTATCTGCCCTGAACATCTGCCACAGGGAGGTGCCAGCAATTCCATTTGGCTGTGAACTCCCCCCAACCCCTTACCCTGCAATCAGGCTCCACACATTCACTGATTCCTTCCTTAATATCAGACAAAAATATACCCATTTCCCAGTTGGATAGGTGTGCCCCATCCTCTGAATAACTTGCTTGGCAAGAAAGATATGTCTGGATAAAACCCCCCTTGGGTATTTATGAATTTAGCTACCTTCTTATTTGTATACCTCTTGGTCTTAACACTACCCCTGAAGGCTTCACTGCTCCCCACCACACCCTGAGCTGTAACATGTCAGACCAAATAGTTGCCACACCCACACCCAGAAAAATCTTGCCTCATCCCCAAATGCCTCTTATCAAGACAACCCCCTTACAACTTCCCAAATTATTTTCACCAACGTGAACAATAATCACATCCAGGGCCTGCTCCCAGCCTGCCAAAGAGTGTACAAGGGGCATCAGCAGGTCCCAGAGCATGCCCCTCCTTGACTAATTCCCTTGCTCCTTGTAGAGTGCCCCTCCATCCATGCCAACTCAGAGATGCCTCACTAATGAGGCCCAGAAGTGAACCTGTGGGCCAAATGCACAATATTATGCCCACCCAGCCCGTCACCAACTCCTGGGGTTTTTCATGTGATCCTAAAGGAAGGAATAAACATGAAGAGTTTAGCACATAAACTACTGAATTATCTTCAACAGGGGCCTTCCACCTTGTATACATTGGAATGTTACCATCAATAGGCTCAATGTATTAGGCTCCCATTCCAAGTTGTGATGGGGGTGTAGCCAGAGCAACCCTGAACGAATTCACCAGAGGAGCCTCAACAGTATGCATTTTTTGACATTGCCATGAACTGAAATTTCATTCTGCAAGATAATTCCCTTGCCCATGAAGAAAGAGGAGCACCTACACAAGTCTGACTGGTATATGATGGCAAATCCCAGCCTTTCCCATGGCCTTGCAGTATTATAACTCTCTATGACATAACTTAATTCGTTTGTTGGCACTCAGAGCCAGGAAGTCAGCTCCCTCCGCAGATCCCCAAATGCCCAAGCCCTATCTAAATTCTTCCTTGCTGAACCCTGTATTATCTCTGATAGTGATGTAGCTCTACCCCAAATCACCCCCAGCGTCATTCCCACACTTCCAGTACAACCCTGGATGTTCAAGGTGCTAGTAGTGTTGCATTAAACAAAAACGGTCAATACCAGAATCACGCTTCTCGGAGGTCTCACTGCACCCGAATGGGTTCCTCACTGGTTCCCCACTGGTTCCCTGTACCAAGTCTCAAGTTCTGCCCACTTCACACTCTGAGTGACTGAAGAACTGCCCATTACCAGCCCCTTCCTGAATTGCCTCCTTCACCCCTGACTTCATTCTTGTAGGTAATCACCGCCATGAGGTATGGAAAAAGGTCCCGCAGGGCTGTACTCCACTCAGCTTTCAGGTCTGACTCTGGCACCCAATCCTCTCTTCAAGGAAACCCTAACCTACTGTCTCAGGGATTGTCCAACACTCAGTAAAACCTCCATCTTTTAATTTACCCTCAGTTAATTGGCTCTAAGGAGGCTGACAACAGCCAAGTATAAAACACCCAACCCCAGGGCACCACCTGGCGTGTGAAATTGTGGATGCTATAACTTTTCATTCATGCAAAGTAATCGTGGATACCTCAGAAAAGATTGCAAGCTTGTTAGCGAGGGATAGGTTACACACTGCAATGAAACCTCATTCCCCATTAACTTCCACTGGAGTGAACGTTTGCCTGTGAATTGCAGCCCAGAGTAAGTGGTGAGAGTCTCTAGCTGGGGACACGCTGCTACTTTACATCTATCAGATTCTATGATTGCTGAGTGGACATTTAAAGTCAGCTGATCGTAGTGTCCTGCATTTCCTATGGCATTCCTGCTGGAAGGCAGCAGGGACAGTAAACTGCCTGAGGGCACAGCCCTGTGATCCTGCCAGTGTATTAATGAAACAGATACCTGCTGTGACATACCAGGGTATAATCCAGACTAATGAGCAGCTGTGTCATCCCTGCCCTGCAACCTTGGGAGCCTTACAATGCCTTGCTGAAGTAGCTCCCACCTGGGCTGCTCAACAGCCTGCCAGCCACACCCTGAGTGTTTGTGTGTAACTGCAGCCTGCCAGCCACACTTGGGTTACACTCTGGCTCTCATCAGCCTTGGTTATATTGCAAGGTGACCCCAACACTCACCCAGTCTCAATAGAGGACATACATTTCTGGGGGGGGGAGGGGGGGAATGTATGTCCTGTACTGCCCAGCTGTCTCCTGGACAGTACAAGTTATATTAGGTCTTTTATTTCTTTAAAAGGAGTAATATGCACACAACTTGCCACCCCAGAATGGAATTTCCCAGACACCTCAATTTAAAAACACACTGGATTAGATAAAACAACAAAACAAAGAAATAGATTTTAAGCGAGTACAAGTAACGAGGCATAAAAGTCAGAAATGGTTACAAAAATAAAGATAAAATGCTACTGATGCCTAACTTAAAGCCATGTTAAATTCAAAGCAAAGTTTTCTCATCGCATACTTGCAGCAGTCTTACTGACCAAACTTCTTAGGTCAGGATCCCTCCCCCAATCTAATGGCTGCTTCCTTTGTCCCTTCTGGTGCAGTGAATCAAGGGGCAGAGAGAGAGAGGGGGCTCTCTTGGGGTGTCTGCCCATTTTTTATTGTCCTCTCCCCCCTTTGAGAAGCATTTCCAGCTGGGAGCAAGGTGGGCAGTCGGTGTAGAAGAGAACTCCATGCTTTTTCTTTGCTAAAATGTAGATTTTTTTGCCCTTGCCCCCTTTCCCATCAAAGAATGGCCACTAAGCAGGCAACGGTCCATCAGCTTTGTTTACACCTGGATGAGGTGTCAACTTGCCCTTTGTCTTTGAAGAACTGGTTTAGTGGCTTCCCAGACTTCTCTGGAAAACATACTTCTAGTCATGATCTCAGCTTATGTTTATAACTTCACATATAATGCTGCTACATGCATTTTGCCATAATATTATTGATCAGCAAATTTTGAGTTTTTAAATGATACCTCACAAGACATGCCTTGTACAAAAAATATTACAATAGTATGTAAGGTGTGAACACAGTCACACGGTCACACCTGCCTGTCTCTAATTTGTCTCCAGACAAGCAAATCTAACAAAAGCTCTATCAGCATGTATGGAACAAAGTCAACAGGCTTGTATCTTCTTTAGAATCCACACTTACTGGGAAAAAAAAGTGCATTCAGGTGGTCCTCCACATGCAAAGCTGGTTTTAAGTAAGCTTTTACACCTGGGCTTTTACACCATGTAAGAAATTCCAGACTCTGGGAATGTCCCTCTACTCCCCCTAGTCTCATTCCTGCCCCTCACAGCTCTATTGTGGTGGGGTGAGCCTAGCCAGCCACCTTGTCTCCACCCTTCTGCCACCCCCAAGAGGGGCCACACACCTGTGGGGGGATGAGCACAGCCAGAAATCCTGCCGCACTCACCCAAGTGCTTCCATTTAGTTGCCACACTGTACTGATTCCCCATAATATGTGCTCCTGCTCGGTTGTGGGGAGAGCCCAGCCAGGCCCCACAAGGAGACACCCACTCACTAATCTGTGATATGGGGGGCACAGCCAGCCCTGCTTCACCTGCAAGAAGCCACTAGCCCTTCCTCTTCTGGCTCAGGCTGTTGCTGCTCTGTGCTTACTCCACTCCCCCAATGCCTCCCAGGCTGCCCACCAAGCATGCTCCTGCATATAGAATTGGGGTGTGTGGAGTGGGGAGAGAGTTTAGAGCTCAGCTAGGCCCTCAGCCCCCAGGCCCCTAAGGAGTCCACTCACCCAAGGAAAAGCTTCTTTGCGTGTGGTGGTGGAGGGAGGGAAGTAGTCACACTTATTTGAGTCCTGCCTCTGCTGCTGTTGCCCTTTCTGCCTCTGTTATGATCCTGGTAAAAAACTTACTTGAGCCACGGCACCTAATTGTTTGAGCTCTGGCACCTTTTTCATTACAAATTAAGCACTGGGGAGGGGCATGGGATGGTGGCCTCTGTGGTTGATTGGTTGGATAGAAGGTACAGTATTAGCCTATTGGCTCTCAGGTACCCAAAAGAGGGCTTGTAAGCACTTTGCCCTGCTCAAAGGCTTATTCTGCACTGAGAAGAAAAGCTCCCCCTCTTTGGGATTAGAAAAGGACTGGGGTTTTTGGTCCTTGCTGTTGGCTCATGCTAGTTACCTTGTTGGGGCTGAGAAGGAATTTTTCCCTCACTGCCAAAATGGACTGGGCAAGGTGGGATTTTTCAGTGTTCTGTAGGTAGCCCAAGGATGCAGTGGGTAGGTTAGCTTGCAGGTCAGTTTGTTGCAACTTGGCAGGCACCCAGTGCAGGTGCTTGTTCAATAAAGGGTCTAGTTCACTGATAAACCAGAATTGGAAGCAGATTAGAAAAAGGTATTTCCTAGAGACGGTGGGTAATGTGGTTGGGGCTTCTAACACCTGGTACGGTGAAGAGACAACCATGTCTTGTCTTCCCTCTTAACTCTCATATGAAGAGAGGGCAATAGGATCTCAGCAACAGTGCTGCAACCAACATCCCAAAAGAAGGGTAGCGGCTGACAGCAGCCGGAGCTCCACCAGGTGGAATGGATTACAAAAGAAGGATAGTCTGTGCTGGACAGCTCACAGTTACTTAATAAAGTCATGGCTTTTTAAAACCACATTCTTGTTGTCTTGTCTTTTTTCCTGTGGGGTCAGGGACAAATTGTTGAGAAACAAAAAAGATTTTCCCTTCCAACACTCCTCACGTACATGAATGCATCACCACTGTAGCACTCCTAGGAGCAGATCCTCAGCTAACAGGATGGGTTTCATGACAACAAATTTCTGCTGGGTCACTAGTTACTTTTTTTTTTTTTTTTTTTTTAAATGTGAGAAGCTGGCATACCATAGATTAACCTTGAATGTAGGCCTCAACTCTTTGCTGAATTAAATTAGAAGAAACCTGTTACAATAGTCAGAGAGAGTGAGCGATTTGAATATGAAAAATAAATCCTAATGCTTATAATCATGTAATGGAAACCAACTGCTATAACTAAAAATTGTTCCTTGTCTTTCTTTTTTCTTTCTTTTGTTTGAAATACTAATTCAATATCACCTTTTTATGGAGGTGGAATCAAGAGAATAAGACATTTCATGACAAAAGTTACTTCAACAGATGTCGTCTCCAGGACCACCTTTATCATTTAATAATGATCAAGAAGTCAATGACCTAAATGATGGAACTTTCTCTGGACTCACACATCATGGGAAATTAGAAATGGGAACAGTCTACAACTTCATCTAGCCCACACCTCTCGTAGTTAACGTAGCACTGTCTCTAAAAAACCCTAAATTTAAATACTTCAATTACACCTTAAAATCTACTGAACACAGGCAAAAATAATCTGGACTGAAAAACGTGGAATACAAGGCCCAACCCATCAGCATCTCCATAAAGTTAGTAACAATGACATAATTTATCTGGTGGCAGATAATTTAGTTCCTACTGCCTGCATAATAAACTTTGATTATCCATAAAGCTATTTGTCCAGAAAGGCGGTCAAGTTGCTGCATTTACCTTGAGCAATGTCATCCTGTCTCTGCAGACTTGGTCGTTCAGACTTGTTCACCTGTTGGGGTGGCTCTCTTTCCTGATGCTTGTAGTACTTCCCTTCATTAAACACCTGTGGCAGGTTAGCTGTGTGTACCTGTCGGAGCTGCTCATAGTCACTCAGAGCAGCGGTCAAATCCCAGTTTTTGCCTGCCAAAAGGTGGAAGGTAATATTCTGTTAGCAGTTTATAGCTATGTCTGATATGACTAACAAAACTGCCATTCATTTTAGGGACGTGGCTCATATAGTTGAAAATGAATATAACTCGGAATAAAACGTTAGAGAATGAATAGATATTTTTCTTTTAAAAACAACAATAATTGGGGAACCAACAAACCATGTGCACTTCAGAAGATACACAGATAGATATGATCACTTCACCAGCTGCTGAATATTGCACTCTTTTTGTTTATGTTGTCTATCTAGTTAAGGCCTGATCCCACAAATAACACTCAGCCCTCTTACTGCAATTATTTTGTTTCCAGGATAAGGCCTTTAGACCATAGTCCTTAGGGAGCAACTTGTCCACAAAGTGCCTACCATCATTTAGGGTTACTCAACCTCTCTCTCTCTCATTTGGTATATAAACCCATCCATTGTATCACATATGGCACATTGTCCATTTATTCAATATACTTTATGGTCAAAGAAAGTCACATTTAAAGGAGGCTTTTGTATATATTTTGCTATGTAAACTAGTACAATTTCTGCTGAAGGAAGTGAAAGATCACACACTGAGTATGATTTAATTAAGAGCTAACACTATTTATTTAAAACATCTGTTAAATTTTTGTTAACTTTAATTTCATGGATCAACTCCAATAAAAGCCTCTTACCCATCCCCAACTCAGTTATCATTATGAACTTTAAACTGTTTTGTCTTAATTTGATATTGTTAACTGGAACTGCTCAGATATTCAAATGAGTCCTTAACCGTGGAAAAGAACACATCTGCCTTTTATCATTCTATTCTTTGATGTACGACTAATAAAACAATTGCAACAATAAAATGTTAATTATAACATCAGTCTTAATTGTTCAGATCTACATCAGACTTTTGTTCTCTATATTACTTTAAGGAAAGCCATTTTAAAACACTCACTGCCCATACTATCACAAGGATTTAAAAAAAAAAGATCAGCCAGCATTTTAATTATCAAACATGCAACAAAAGCTACTTCAGCAAAACCAGTTCCTTAAACAGAAATTCTCTCTTCCTTTTTACGCAACAGAGCAGGGCGTAAACAAACTTGATCAGTCCAGAGCATAGGGTTTTGTTAATTCCAATAAGAACTAGTGTGCAAAATCAACAGCATACATTATATGTGTCTTACGAGTGACTAGTTATGCAGTGCGTCTTTCACATGCCATAAGCAAAGCAAACATGCTTATATTAAGCCCTAACAATCAGGCAGTTTTTTTTTCTAAGACTGTCCCAATGGGGCCAAAGTGGTGTTTTTGCCACACAGTTAAAAGTTTAGCACTCAATTGTATTTCTTGAAATGTAAAACACACTCAGTGTTGCTAACCCTCGCCATTGGAAAATAATGAGTCAGACCCCCCAAAATCATGAGGATTCTTTTTTAAATAAATGTGGCTTCTCTTTATTTCCCTTCTAGTTTCTGAGCCTTGAAGGTGCTCTCAGGTCACACATCTTGTTGACAGTGGGGACCCCAGCAGCCCAGCTGAAAAAAAAAAAATAATAAAAAATCCTGACATTCGAGAGTTCTCTTGCGAGATCATGAGTCAGGCTTACTTTTACTTAGAAATCATGTCTCTTCTGATTAATCTGAGAGAGTTGGCAGGGCTGCACATTACAAACAGCATTCTAGCCCTGCATTCCTAGCATATCCCAAACTCCTGATGAAGTTAGCAGGAGTGTGGAAGGAATGCAGGAGCCAACCTATTTTCCTAATAATCTCTTCTCAAGGCCTCTGAAGGTCTGCTTTTACACTATGACAGAATCCGATCACCTTCTTTGGGAGTTTTGCCACAATAAATGCGGAGTGTGGTCTTTGGGACTTGCTCAAAGTGCACTGCATTGTAATTCTGAATTGTGTAGAGTTACGCTCTATCTACTGCAGACTTGGAATTACAGAAAAAAAAAATCACTTACAAAGAAGTAACTCGTTTCTTTCTTTTCAAATCTCCTCAGTACACCTGGACATCTGTAGCTGCTTCCCACATGAGACAGCCAGTCAGCAGCAAAACATGACATCTTAAAGCAGCTCTGACACAGGCAAAGATCATTAGTTTATTTTTTTTTCTATTTCCTGCAGTCCCTAGGCATCTGAATGCAGGCAAATCCTCAACCAAGAGTGTGTGCCAAGAGGCCCTCCAGATCAATGAAGTGGTGATTCAGGATCTTAGCCAGCCTCAATGGCTGGCATAGGCTTTTTCAATCACTCCTTCAGCATATAAATCCTTCCCACAAATCCACCCCAGGGCAGCTGTGTAACTGCACTCCCTCTGTGTGGGAACTGCAATAATGTTCCATAAGCCACCCTGTAGTAGTGATTGAATCGAGAAAAAAGTACTGACCATAATCAACACAATAATCTCTCTCACTGCCTTGGTCTAAAAGAGACTTTCTTCTTTTCAATTGCCTTTTTCCTGCCAGAAAAATACAATAATAAATGTTCTACTTTCCCTGTCACCCATGAACAAAAGCAGAAAGCCAGAAGTGACAAAAAGGAAGAAGTAGGAGAGCATGAGAGAGGATGTGGGAGAAAATGAGCCAGAGATGTAGATGAGAGTGAGGTTATGTACAGTTTTGAAGGTAAGAAGTGGGAATTTGAATGTAATGCGATAACGGGCAGGTAAATGCAAAAAGATCCAGTGAGAAGGGTAATCTGATTGGAACAACAGTAAAGGACTGTAGCAGTAGTGGACAGACAGAGGCCAAAGACGTTACAACATCAAGACGAGACAAAAGATTTTTGCAGTGGGGATAATAAGGAAAGAGGATCAATTTTGATCATGTTAAAGAGGATCATGCTGTAGGATTAATCAAGAAACCAAGCGGGACTGATGGAGAGACAAGAGTTAAAGGACTTGTCTGTAATGCAAAATTTTATCCTCCTCATTCTCTTTGAGACTTAACCCTTATAATTTGAGAGCTAATGGCTTTTTTTCCTTCTCACTTCAGCAACGTCTAATTGCTATTAGCTGACATGATACCGATCTTGATATCTGGTCTACACTGACTGCTAAGACATGACAAAATGTTATGTTTGAAAAAGACGGTAGACAAACCTGCATGCAAGTGTGATCTTGGGAGATATACGAGGCTATTAGCTGTTAATGGACGTAGACAAGGGAGACGGTGAAGAGGGAAGAACTCCATTTTGTGGAGAAATAGGGTGTAATGGTGGGGAACATCCAGGAGATGCCTGAGACAGAAAAGGAGATGAGAGAGTGAAGAGAGGAATGGAGCTTGAGGGTCAGGTATTAGATTTGGAAATCATCCATATGCAGATGGTAACAGAAGCCAGAGGAGCAGATGAGACCCGGAGACTAAGGACGAAACACTGAGGGATACTAATGGAGATGGATCCGATGAAGTGAGCTGTAGCTCATGAAAGCTTATGCTCAAATAAATTGGTTAGTCTCTAAGGTGCCACAAGTACTCCTTTTCTTTTTGCGAATACAGACTAACATGGCTGTTACTCTGAAACCTGTAATGGAGATGGGAGAATGAGATGTAATTTAAGGTGGTGCTGAAGGGGAAGTAAAGAGAGGAGAAACGAGAGTGATCAGTAGCGTCAAAGGCAATAGATATTCTTGAAATCTAAGTTCCCTTTTTATTTAGCTCTGAGAGAGTTCATTAGTCACCTTGGTGAGGGAGAAAGATTAGAGGGGATCAAAGAGCATGTTTAATGATTTTCCACACAAAAGTAAAGGGAGAGTTGTTGGAGAGGTAGGAGCATTAACAGTATTTTCTCCATTAGAAACAATATAATTTAGGGTATACAGTGTACTACTGTAGTTCAGATTTTGATGAATAAATCCATACCGATTGGTGTGGACTTCCAAGCACTTGATAAAACTTGAAAGACTGCTTTGTCATCTCAGACAAAAGAACTGATGTTATAACTGAGAGTATAAAAACAAACTATTTCAAATCAGTCTTTTTGGATAGTTTCCAGATGCTGCTCATGTTACTTGTTTACACCACCTATTAATCTGGTTTTTGAAATGGACTGACATCATGGAAGTCCTTTATTTAGGCTACTCTTACGAAAAGCATTCTGACACTGAATGATGCATAGTCTTGAATAGCTGGCTTTTATGGAAGCAGTGGAGGACACTGTGCAAAGAATACAATTGTGTGGGACAAAACACTGGCACTTCAGCGTGAAAGCTGGTGTGTTATTTAACAGTAACTCCGCAAAGTTCTATCACAGTTCTATTAATAGCAGTTCATCAGATACAGCAGCACGTAAGTGTATCTTGAACATGAAGGATGTAGGGGTGTCAGCTTAAGCAACACTCCATGAAAAAATATGCACTGAGCTTGTGACAGTTGCAGATGAGCTGTAATCATTAACACGAACTTGCAAATAATCTAATTTTGGATTTCTGTGACACAGCTGAATGTGTCAGAATGTGTCACAAATGGCCAAAAAGTTTTTCTAAAGCCTATAGGGGAGGAAAACCACTTCTGGGTATCCTTGTTTCAGCAAATGAGACATAGAATTTGTAAGACCAGTGATGTGTTCCCACAATGTTAACAGAGGGCTCCCTCAAAATATGTTTCTGTGCCAGCCAGCAACACATAAGACATTCTCTGGACAGAATACTCTTCCCCATCAAAAATTTCAATCAGTTCCACGCTGTACCTCACCCCTGCTTCACAATCCTATTAACACTTCTGCTATAGCCCCCCTCGATGAGGAAACTGAGGTACAGACATGCACTCACTGTTTTATTGTTTTGTATAATTGGTACTCTCCTGATCCAGCACAAAAGAGTACATGTGGGTTAACAGCTGCAGAACTGCTTTGTGCCCCTGAGAGAGGTAAACTGTAACCAGAAGCTTCACACTGTTAGGGGGATGTTTAAGTACCAGAGAGTCTGAAGGGTCAGTGCTGCACTGAGGGGGGCTAAGCAGCTGGACAATGGGTTCCAATACTCATAGGGGTTGCCA